CAGTGCATCCCCTGAACCCACCAAAGGTAAGCAGGGAGTCCCCCCCAGGGACCTCACTGCCCTCCCAGTGCCCCCCAGCACTGCCCCACACCACAAGGACCCCCCAGTCCCTCCCAGTCCCTCCCAGTCCGTCCCAGTACCTGCAGGGGGTAGGTGCGGTCAGGGTCGTAGGCGCTCAGGTCCCCGCAGGCCACAAAGGGGACAATGACACGGGAGGGCCCCGAGAGCTGGGACAGGGCCAGGCCTGGGGGTGGCATTAAATGGGGGCTGGGGATTCCCCAAATTCCCCCTCTCCAAAATGGCAGGGACCCCAGAATCCCCCCAGGGACCCCTCAGTGGCCCCCGACACCCCCCGGAGCCCTCAGACCCCTCACCTGCCTCGGGGTCCAGCAGGGGATTGTCCATGGTGGGCACAAAGCCCTCAGGGGGGCTGTAGCCACGGCACACCACGAAAGCCTCTGCAAGAGGAGGGGATTGGGGGGTGCCCCAAGCTCAGGGGGGTCTCCCCAAAGCTGAGGGGGGTCCCCAGATATTGGGGAGGGGTCTCACCAATGCTGGAGTTGCGGCTGCTGCGGGGTTTGGCGCAGGTGACGTCGGGGAAGAAGAGGCGCAGTTGAGAGTAGAGCAGGGTCACATCCTTCCCCCGGAAAATCTGGGGGAGCCAGGGGGGTCAGCACCCCCTTTCTGGGGCCGGGGGGGCTCCGGACCCCCCTCATTTTGGGGGGTTCCTTCCATGGACTCACTTTAGCCACAAAGGTGCCGCCTTTCTTCAACACATGGGTGGTGATGTTCAGCGCCTAAGGGAGGAGAGACCCCCCAAAACGGGGATTTGGGGGAGTCTGGGGGGGCGATTTTTCCCTCAGGGGTTTGGAGGGAATTGGAGGGGGCTGAACTGCACTTACTGCCAGCAGCAGCTGGGCCTGGATGTACTCGTCCAGGTCGTGCAGCCCTGTTACTGTGGGGGCAATTTGGGGGTCAGGGGGGCTTCGGGAGGTTCAGGTGTTTCCCCAGGCTCCAGCCCCCCAAACTCACCGTCAGGGGCCCCATCACAGACCACCAGGTCGGCCGGGTGCCCCTCAAAGTGCCGCTGGATCTCCTGGGCTGTGGAGGCCTGGGGGGCACAGGGGGGAAATGGGGTCTGGGGGGCAGAAATGGGGACTGGAGGGGGAATGTGGGG